CACCAGGAGAGCGGGACACGGGCGGAGTGTGCGGACGGAGCTGGGCCGGGACGTCCTACGGTGCTGAGCGTTCTGTGGGATACACCTGGAACATGGGGGGGGCTTTTTGAGTCGTGAGCACCCCAGGGATAGAGTGGATGCTGTGGAAGTGCTGGGATGTTGTTGCTCTTCCGGGAGCTCTGGTCATGTCCTAGCTATGGGATAGCACCCACCTGCTCTGGGGGTCTCGGGGTGCTCCCACCCCATTGACAGCGCTGGGGTTTGTGGTGTCCCTGGGGTCGTATTCTTTCTGAGCCTCTGGTTCCGGAGGCTGAGGGGTGGCCCTGTCCCTCCTGTGCTGCTGCTGGAGCAGCTGAGTTGAAGAACATCCCTCACTCACCCTGTCCATGCTGGGGCCACAGGGCAGAGTGGGGAACAGGGAGTGTTTGAGGGTGTGGAGCTTCCTCTGACCCCCCACACCTCTGCGTTCTTCATGGCAGGGATTCCATGGAAAATCTTCAGGAGCTACTCCTCTGCCAGCACCAAGGAGAAGGCGAACAGAAATGTTTCCTGTGAGAGGACAGAGCTGCTGGAAGGTGAGTGCTGGGAGAGATGCAGCAGGCAGAGCAGACTTGGCTGTTGCTTTTTCCCTGGCAGTGACACTGCTGGGTTCAGGGATGCTGGGGTGGGTTCCAGGGATCCTGGGATGGGTTCCTGGGTGCTGGGGTGCATTCCAGGGGTGATGAGGTGAGTTCCTGGGGTGCTGGGGTGGGCCCCAGCTTGCAGGTAGATCTCAGAGAGACAGAGGTTGGTGTCTCTGTTTTGGAGCCAAGGAGGGATGAAGTTCTTTTGTGAACCCTTTTTTTGAGCACAATCCTGGTACTTCCAGGGTGAGGACAGGACAGAGATTTTTGCTGTGCCCTGTCTCCCATCACCTCTCTGTTTCCCTCTAGTGCTGAAGGCTCGAGCCAAGCAGCTGCAGGGCAGTAATGTCCCAGAGGTGACAGTCAGCAAAGTGGAAGTGGCTGCGCTGGACAATGACAAGTTCCAGGAGGCTGTGGTCCCTGGCCCCAAGGAGAAGCAGCCCCTTCCCAGGGCACAGGGTGATGGCCTGGCTCGGTCCAGCACCTGGGCCAAAAAGCTGCAGAAGGAGATGTACAGCCAGCAGCCAAAGATGAAGCAGGAATTGGGCAGTGCTGCCTCCCAGCTGGCTCTGGAGAGCCAGGCCAAGGCAGAGGCCACACCCAAAACAAAAACCAAGAAGAGCCCAAAGATCCCAAAGACAAAAGCAGCCCCTGCCTGGACCCAGAGCTCTGGCAGCCCCCACAACAAGCCCAGGGTGGTGGAGGTGAAGGGAGTTGAGGAGCTGAAGAGGCCCCAGAAGATGCCAAAGGACAAGAGCAACCAGCAGGTGCTGCAGCAGACCATCCAGGCCAACCTGGAGTGCTTCCTGTTCCTGCAGCAGGCAGAGGAGGCTGAGAGGTACCTCCTGCTGTGCCACAGCTCCCCCGTGAAGAGGAAGGTGCTGGATGTGGGTGCCTTCAACATCGTCATGCGCATCTGGGCCAGGAAGGTACCAAACCCTGCTGCTCTGAGTGGGAGAGGGGCTGGCTCGTGAGGAACAGCCTCCAGCTGCTTTGGTCTGTGCTGGTCACTGCAG